TATAGACTGACAAATTATGATGCAGCATGATATGTATGCATCGAGTGTGTGTAAAAGTTGTGAAAATATGCAAATTAAGCAAACAAAAATACACAACTGTAATTTCATTTCATCAACTATTGATTCATGGAAATAATCCACTAATTAATCGAGGTGTAAGCAGTAAGAAATAATTATTTAGTTTGTATGTCGACTATATTGTAGTCGATTAAGAAAAATGTCTGGCTGCTTTTTTTTAAATAGAACTAGCTAATCGATTAAGGTTAGCTGAAATATTATTCATTATGCAATTAATGAATTCGTGCTAATTAAAAATTTGAAGATAATTTTCATCAATAATAAAATTGTCCCAATGTTAGATAGTGGGTGAATAGTCGATTTTTAAAATAAGTGACTTGTTTCATGACAGTGAACACTTTTCAACAAAGTGTATCTAAAATTTTTTAACAGGACTAATGCTCCCTGGTGAATTAGAATCTGTATCACTCTCACTTCATTGTCTGTGATCACTGATCTTATAGGGTTGTGTATAACAGTCAATACTGAAATGAGTAAATAATCATGAGGCAGTGATCAAAATCATATTTGTCTAATCTACCGATCAAGCTGCAATATAGCTAGCTAATGGTTTGAATGACTGAATATGTTTTTGGATTTTTAAATGGTCTCAAATTCAGTTATTTACTTCCAAGAACTAGGATGATAATTTTATATCAGCAAACAGGTATCTAGTGTTCCGAATTTCCAGCTTCGGTCAACTTGTGAAATAGCACCATCTTCATGCAATCATAATGAAAGAATTAGTCTATTTCTCACTACTAGGTCGGTCGTTTACAGAACAACAAATTGTTATTGGTTGTCCCGCAGAGATTTTGTTATTTTCATTAAAAGCTAGGATGAAATAAGTGTCAACCACTGTTTATTTTCTGACGCTTCTCCAACTGATCTCAGTTTGTCATCAAACATATGCCCACATACACTCAGAAAATTCACCTTCTCGAGTAACTATAAATATCGAATCTGAGAGATTCTGTCTTGCGCTCGAACGCCCAACCTCTGGACCATTGAGCTGGCATCCAACGGTGTTAATGTCTAGCTTTGACCAACTCAAAGTCTTGCGCAAGTCCACTTTCTCGAGCAAGACCAATGGTCTTGGGTTCGACTCCCGCGAGTTGCTGGAGCCGTGGATGAGCACTGTTCATGAGACCCATACGAGGATGAAACGGCTATCCATTGCTCCCAGGATTCTAATGGTGGTCTAACAATGATTTCAAATATGTAAAACCACTAATCTCCATAACTCTAATCGAAAGTAAATATAAAATGTTGAGCTAAACAAGCACTAATCTACATTAGTTCACGTTTTCATAATCTCATTCATAACTAGTAAAATTCAACACCATACAAATTGGATAACTATTCATGACATTCCAAAATTTAAAGTTCTATATCTCAGATGGTGGAGAAAATTTGTAGCTCAGATGGATGATTTTAGTGGTGTTTCATTCTCTGAGCTGGATAGCATGTATGTTTCATTTTAAAAAAAAACACATTTTCCTTTTCAATCTTCACAATCAGTTTTGTTAAATTACTTAATAAACGACCAAATATACACAATGTAAATAGAAACGGTATATTCAATGTGATCAATTATCATTGTTCAATTTAGTTAAAATATAAGTGCAGGTTAATTTTTTTTAAAAAAAGAACAGAAAGACACAGACACGCTTAAAATTTTTAATATTAATTACCAGTCACCAAATAATTAATATACAAACATAATTATTTAATGTTAATATTTATAAGAACTCTGATTAATTAATTAGTTAAATATATGCACATTTCTTTTATAGCTATTTACGTTGAATATGGTTTGTTCAATGTACAAGTGCTTCTTATTACTTTTTATCTGTATGTACGCATATGTGTGCATAGTGTTGTCAAAACACAAACCCAAACATGAAATACGTTAGATTTACACAACTTACTTTGCTTGGCCTTGAGAAGTTAAATTAAATAAGGTGTGTTGGCATATTTATAGATTAGAAAATGAATTTACATCTTAAATAACATTTTTCTAAAAAAAAAGTTCTCAAATATAAAGTCATTGATATTCTTTAAAAATATATTCAAATTTATTAAATAAAGTAAGACAATTTTAAAAGTCTTACACGTAGGAAATCGATTTTCAATTATCTCACTGAAAGTTTAGTGATTTATAGAATCCTAAACTATTGAACAATAATAATAATACAACCTGAATCTTCTAATTAGTCGGTTAATTAGTAAGATAATAGTTGTTTAATGATGAAATCACAAGCTTGAACTTCAGTTCACTAACGTTCAGTTGAACAGCCAAATCGTATACAACTAAAGTGTCATGAACACTTGAAGTACATAAACACAATATTGGTAAATTAGGTACTTCAGCAAATATATCACGCTCCGCCAGGAGTCCTTCTACGGTTACTGTCGGTCTAAAGCTCAGATAAAGGAGAACAGTTAAGCGTGGAGTTAGCAACCACATATTGTAGAAAGCTAACTTGCTAAAAAGCTGCTAACCAGAAAAAAATAATTGAAACTATTCAAACTCTGCCCTGGAAATCGTAGGCTGTTTATTTAGAACACTTATGACGACGCATGATGAAACGAGAACTCAGAAAGTGTGAGAAATACATAGCCATCACTCTACTCTCACTAACAGTAAAGGTCTTCAACACATAGTTGTTGAACTGAATGGAAGATCTGGTAGATCCTCAACTATCAGACCAACAGGCTGCATTCTGCAAAGATCGATCGTGTAACGACCAGATCTCAACATTACGTACTATAGTGGAATAATCAATTGGATGGAATTCACCACTGCACACCAACTTCATTGACTACCAGGAAGCATGTAGGCTTCTTCGATACTACTGAGAAAACGACACCTCATGGCTGAATAGATCATGAGGACGTCAACATCTCAGATGAAAGCACAGTCAGTCAGCTACAACGTAAAACTTCGTACACACATACATCACAGTTCAACTTGTCATACCACATTAGCACAGAGAAGCAATTTTCAATTCAAATCCCACAGTAGTGGAGGTAGTGGAAGTATTGATGGTAATGAGGAAGATTAGGGTTCGAAGATAATATTCAAAATAATTTAGTGAAACAAATCCAAAAAGAAACAGATAAAGGCAATGAGGAATTTAGAAGATTAAAATTTGGGCCACAAGATTCAAGTGTTTATTAACGATTATCCACGCAAGATCCTGAAAGTCTGTTGGCCAGACAACATCACAACAACCTACTGTGCTAGAGAAAAAACCATATCCCACCAGAGAAAGAAATCAGGAAATAGCTCTGGAGGTGGGTAGGACACACATTGTGCAAATCACTCTACCTCATCTCGAAGTATGCCCTAATTTGAAACTCTTAAGGTCAAAGGAAAATAGATAGACTAAGGAATACATTGCGTTGGAAATGGGAGGTAGACATAAAAAGTCTGACTAGAGATTGAGAACAACTCAAAAGGAGAGTGAAGAACAGGTTTAGTTTCAGAATTCTATCTGGCGACCAATGTAAGTAAGTAAGCTAATAAGTCAATCTCATAGCACAGCTACGTAATCTATTTTCTTGTGATCAATGACCTCGATCGGGTTAATATTTTCATATAAACGGTCATGAATGTTGGAGTAAAAGCTGACAGTCAGAGATTCAGTAACACACAAATCATCAATTTACATTACGACAACATGAAAACTGCTAATCATTATGACTGTTGTTGTGATCTAATCAATTTATCTTGAAAATAATTTTCACCATCATTAGAAGACAGAAACAACTGAACCGTTGTTGGAAAACAACTGCCTGGATGTATTCATGGATAATGGATTCTTACAAAGACTTTGGAAATTTAGGATCCAAACTAATCTGCAAACGAGTATATGATACTAAATCATTTTTCATTCACTGAATGATAGATATCATTCTACAGAATAATTTTATTCAAAATGTGAATTTCAACTGGTAACATCGACAAACATGTCACGAATGTATTCACAAAAGAATGATTCGATACTGAAGAAAAATCAAAGATAATTCAGTAGTGCAGCTACAGTAAAGTCGACAACAAGAAAAAACACAGGAATCCATGGAACTGCGTTACTATTACGGAATCATTTCCGATCTTTCAGTGACAAAAGAATTATTAAGAAACTGCTTTCATTACAATTACATAGTGTATGAAAGGTATTATTCTGTATTTCCTGTTATTGAGTTGTTGGCTACATTTCAGTTCTACATACTTTTACAAACTGAATTCGACTCTACATTAACGAAATAAGATCGATGAATGAAATGATTTTCCTAAAATGTAATTAACTGAGTTATATTTAATTAGTAAATTAAAGATTACTAAACAACAAAAAGGCAACCATGAATATGAGTGTGTCAAATTGAACGTGTAAAATAAAATACACATACAATCGAACTAATACCTAACTGTTGTGCACATCACACTTTTATGATTCTCATTTTGAAATGAATCATCTTTTTCAACTATATATGCTTTATGAGTATTTTTTTTATCCATAAGTTGTCAAGTTTCATCATTGAATACTTTTGTCATTACGCATTTACATTTGTTCTTCTACTATTATCATGAAATGTAGTAAGGTTTAAGTAATGTTTTTCTATCCAGGTTTATCAGCATTTAATACAAATAATAGGTTTGAAGTAAAACTAGTGAACTCTTAAAAATGTCTGGAATCAGTAGCCTTAATTAATTATTTCTGCATTAGATCTTTATATTCACATAAGATGTTATTGATAAAGTTGCAAAATAGTTTAAACATCATGAAAAAGAAGTTTTCAAAAAGCATAATTAAAATTCATGTCTGCAAAGCATGAATCGATTATCGAAAATATCCAACGCATAACTGCAAAGTTATATAAATATAATGGAAAGCAATTAACGATCAGTTTAGAAAGAGCTTACATAAGCGACTTACATAAGGGATTAAAAGTTTATTGACCACATCAAACAGCGCTAGAAGAACATCTGGAGAAGGTGGTTGGATAGCACTACCAATACAGTCAGAATTTTGATTAGGATCGATTCGATTATTTTTCACTCGAATTTGATTAGAAATAGCACCGGTGTTTGTAGTTCCATTAGAACCACGTGATTTACTTCCTGGATCACGTCCAAGAGTATATTGTGACGTAGTCATTCGAGATGGCATAACATGATTTAAATTGGAAAAGTTTTGCATTCTATCTGATTTCTTGGTTTTAGACACTCCACCTAGTAGAACATCTGCATCTGCACTTACTGGTCTCTCATAGACACCTGAAGACATTCGGTCATATTTTCTCAATTGAGGCGGAGGATCTTCATTCGCAATTGAAGTAACTGAATAGGCACGTTCAAGATCGACTAGACTAGCTGTTGAACCTGCCATGTCAGATTCACCAAGAAATACTGATGCCAAATTGGTGATAATCTTTAGAAAAGAGAAGTTAATCAAAGAAATAAAAATGAGTAAAATCTGTTATACGTAACAATGATGGCTGTCAATAATTAATAATAACATTTGTATGTGTTTTGTAGTCAAACCCATAGTTTTGTACTCATCAAATTTATTCTTTTGTTTATATAATGTGCAGATCAGTGTAACACTAAGGGAAATGATCTCTTTCTCCTCATATAATCCAGTTCAACAATAATAAAAATACAGAATAATTTTCAAAATTAAAATAATACCCTTAGTACTGTTTTTATATAATCAAAGAAATAGTATGTTGAAAACTCGTCAACCCCAACTCTTCGCATTTGTAACGCACATAATTTATAGGTAATTTAATACATGAATTCCTTACTAAATACACTGTAAGGGAAAAAGGTTAAGAAAATGATACATTTTCTTCGCTATTGTATAACAGTAAGAAACTACTATAAGATGGAAATATATTTAACAAAGATCTCATATAAGATACACGTAAACTACTTGAATTTTACACTGTAAGTATTGGGATAAATTATACGGAGCTTTAAAAGATGTTTAGATAACCTGGTGTTGAAAAACGATTGCTATTAGTGAAAGGGATTTGTAGTGATTGTATTATTTTTGTAGTTAAAATCGTTATCACTGGAGAACAGTGTGTTCAGGGTAGGAGACAGTTACCTGCCTCAAGCAGTAGGTGAAGGTTGCGCAACATCATTGATTGATTGAAGTTGGACACCAACACCATTGGATACCGGCTCGGTGATCTAGAAGGTCCTAGGTCCGAATCCCGCTCGTGGGGGTCACGGATGCGTACTGCTAGTGGGTCCTGTACTAGGGTGAACCAGCCATGCAGTGCTGGCAGGTTCCTAATGATGATTTAGTCAATAATAATAATAGCTTCATTCAATATTGAATGTCACTCATAACTGTGATAATAATAAATTTTAGTGAAGTAATATGATAGCAAAGAACACTTATGCAAACAAGATGAAATGTGCTCACAGAGAAATTGATATTTATATAAATATTTTGTCAGCTTAGTATCAACTTACACTTTGTTGTTAAATGGTGACCTAATTAATTTAATCTTCGATCATTTTAAAAATCGATTTTTCAAAAACAAATGTAGATCATAACATGTGGTAAAATGTAATAAGTTAGCTCAGAAGAAGGGAGAAAAAAGAAATTTTTTGCTAATATACTAAGGTGACTGAGTGCAAGTAAATGGTAATAGATCACAATAACTAGGTTCCTAGATTTCTCAACTAGAGTTATGGAGATAATTGCGCAAGACCGAAGGTCCCGGGTTCGAATCCTGTGAGGTACAGGAGTCGTGGATGCACACTACTGATCGGTCCCATACCAGGACGAAACGGCCGTCCAGTGCTTCCATGTTTCTAATGATGGTCTAACAATGATTGATCGATGATTTCAAATGTATATTCTTAAATCTTTATGTTTCAGTGATTTGATTGAATTCGACCAAAATTTACGGATTCTGGCAATCGGCTATGTGGGTACTAACTCTATTGCGAACATTAGTTCCCATAGATTATTCATAGATGCCGAATAGCACGAAACAACCATCAAATAAAACGGTACAGTGATATCGAATCACTGAGATTAGAAAATCTAATCGGTGAATATAGAAGGTTGGCACCGGTTTATACCAAGTAATCAATTAGTGAAAACATTATAGCATAATGGACAAATAGAATACCGTCAAATATCAAGCGAAAATACACTGAATGAAGTCCCCTTTATTTTTAAACAGATTTAAATGCCAATTGACTAAAAGGATCAAGAAAATAAGACATTGGTTGTCAGAATAAAACATAAATATAGGGTGAATCACGATTATAACCAATGTATCCAAAGTGAAGAATATACGTGAACGACATGTCACATGGAGTATACAGTTTTCAATTCCTTATATACTTTTAATCGCACTAGTTTATATTTTCGTGAATTGTATATTTGATCCTTAATCTTTTTCACTACTGTTACTATTTGTACTACTTTGAGATTTGGCCTAACAATTCATCTTTCTGTGTTAACAAGGTATGGTAATTTAAACTGATGTATTATATACGTACTAGATTCTACGTTGAGATTGACTGACAGACAGACAGACTGTTATAACTGATCATCAATGTTACAACTTCAATATCCATTCATTACATATTTCCACAAAAAAAATCATCGACTCAATAAAGTAATTGTTTTTATCAAAAAACTAAATCCATTTAAACTAAACATACTAAGGAAGATGTTCAGTACGCTACCTTATCAGATGTGTTAATTATTATTGTGAATAAATATATGTATCAATACCCTAACTGCAATTAATTTTCTAAGGAATAAAGACCTCATTTACTTCTTTCTAACCACTAGTACTCATAATGTTTATACTTGTTGCATTGTTTCATTCTAATAGATAAATAGATAAAATAGTCTATATATATTAAGAGAAATGTGATATGTACATACATATGTAAAAATACTGATGACAAATGGGTGTAGTCAATTAACTTGAAGCAAACAAAAAATGAGTCATATCAGTAAGCATTAAGAAACCAACAACAAAAAGGAAGTATAGAAAAACACTAAAACTAAAGTGACTGATATGATAAAAAGAAAATATTTCATTGTAAAGGGAAAAAAAAATGAGTAACACAAAAACCAAAAACCAACTTAATTCAATCAAATGAAGCAAAGAATAAAGCCCAACCATAACAACAATGATGAAATAAATAACAAGTTGACTAAACAAGACAGTAAGTACATTATTGATGTAAATGGAAAAGCAAATAGCTATGATGAAAGATAGCGATGAGAGAATTTCTATGAAGCAGAGATGATTGCCTGATACAATCGATAGTAGTTTTGCGTAGATCTGCTATGGTATGATAATCAGTTTTGTTAAAAGATCAACTAGAATTCAATTGATTCTGATGACTTTAGATCAATAAGCAAGTTGTGAAGGTGCAAAAAATAATAGAATACCAAGATATTTTAGCAGTTTAACCTATCTAACCAAATGTATGTTAATGATAGCGATGCGGAAAGCACCCAACTACGTCACAAGACAAGTCCTCATTTGGAACCACCAAGGTCACAGGGGACGAGGAAGGCCAAGAAACACATTACGCCGACAAATAAAGAAAGACATCAAAAGAATAAGCGAAAATTGGACAGAACTGGAAAGGGATGTCCAGGATAGAGTAGGTTGGAGAACACTGGTCGGCAGCCTATGCTCCATTGGGGGTGACAGGCGTAAGTAAGTAAGTAAATTTTAATATTGATTTCTTATGAATCTGTTCTCATGCAGCGATAAAACATTTCTTTTTAAAATTTTCTAATTTTTTTACCTAAACAAACAAATCTAACCCTTGTGGTGGTGGTGGTGTTTGGTTCTCAGCTCACCATTGGTTCTCACCACAATCATCCACCTGAGCTACAAATCTTTTCCAACATCTCAATATCTAACCATTCGCATGTTTCTTATAACTGTAATGGTTTCTAATCTTCACGTCGTCCACTACTAATTTCGCTTTTCAGATTCTTAGAATCTGAGGCTTGTGTGATTGATTACTGATTGTTGTTTATTATTATCCGTATTCGAAGTAAATGAATTTTTGTGCGCTTGCTGATTAGTCGGCTCACCTCTTCTTTCGTTCAACTCTTTTCCAGTTCTCATATTACTCAGCATGTTCCTCTACTACACAACGAACTTCATAGTTGGATGCGACAATCGCTACAATAATCCT